AGCCCTTCGATAGCTATTTCTACATCCAGTATATCTGGTTTTTCAACCGCTTCTGGGTCAAGGTCTTTAGCGTAGTCCGTGTCTTCTTCGTTTGTAGATTCCTCTTGATTGAGAAGTCACCTGGAAATGTTCTTTCAAGATATTAAATATACTTTCTTTAGATGCCGTCAGAATGCTATATTTGCCTATTTCTCGCTTTATATCCAGCCTTTTTTTTCCTAATGTCTGCGTAGAATTCGCATTTGTTGTTCTCAATGGTTTGCAATCTTTCTTGGCACCTGTGTAGTTTTACTGGGCAACTTGATCAGTTGTAGTTAGGCAGAGGACTTTCATTCCTCTACTGCCTTTTCGTATGCTTCGATGAACCCTATCTTAGCTCTTTGTTTCTCCTGATAACTGATCACTTCCTTAGCTGTTTCTTTTAGTCTACTTTTATTATTAGTTTTATATTGTTTTCTTTTTGTTGACAATCAGCAAATGTGCTGGAAAATTTGTCAGTTTTAACATTAGTTTAGATTGATTGATTTTGGAATAGTTACCCATACATAAATATCATTTCTTTTATTCAATATTTCAGTATTGTTTTTATTTAGCGTTATCATTATTTTCAATTATTAGAAGTTCTTATTTTATTTTACAATCAAGCAAATGTGAAATTTATTTCATTTTTTTTCTTTATTATTATTTGTTATTATAGAAAAAATAAATGCTTAGTTCGGTTTTATTTTGTTCATCATATAGTCGATTATTTTTATTATATGAGCTTTTCACTTGACTGAATGACTAACACCAGTTTCAAAATTTTTGTGTATTGTCTGTTTAGTGATATTTCTATTTAAAAAAATTATTATATCTAGACAGACAGTGAGTACGTTGATTCCAGAGTAATTTGATTGCAGTGTTGAAATACATAACTGTGAATAAAGGTATATTTTCCTTGTAGAAATATCACTAAAATTAATAATCAAAAATGTTGAAATTGGAGTTATTCGTTCTGTCAACTGAAAGGCTTATATGATTATTTTACTTCTTTTTTTTCACATTCATTAGTTAAATTTCATTCTGCTTTTTCTTCTGAAACCGCGAGGAAGACTTAGGGAAATAATATTTTCGAGATTATCGAAATTAAGTGACTGGTGCAACTCGTGCTAGCATAAGGTTGAAAGCAAATTATCAGAACATGGTTAAAACAATTGTAAATTGTTCAGTCTAACCTCTACCTATTTTCAATCGCTAGTAAATAAATATTATTTTCTTTAGGGATTTTTTTTTAATCCAAAGAACGTAACATGTTTCTAGACGACTCCCAGAAAAGAAATCATTATTTTTCGAAATGAGATCTGAAGATTTTCAATACAGACTCTATTTTAAAAGAACTTAAACAACTACACGATTGTAAAGAAAACTGGTATCGCTTCTGATGAGTCCTTGACTTGCCGGTATTCTAACCTTAACCTACTCACACATTTGAAATAATTAGCAACCTTTTGAAGTTTCCTTATGCTTATTTTTTATTTTTTTTGTATATGTTTATTCTTCAATTTAACATAACGATTTGTGCTTATAATTCACACCTTTTTCGTATTTTTGTCATATACTGTATTAGTTGCTCAATCTAATAAAAATAGTTCTTTAAAAATTAGCTCATGCAAATAGATATAGTTCGGTATGACAAAATGTAAATAATGTGGTTTTTACATGTTGTGAACAAATATTGTTTTTTTTTTAATTTACCGAACCGTTTTCCGAAAATGTTATCATATACAACACCCTATTTTTCGCAATTGATCCCACTGTCACTGTTTCTCCAGGATTTGAAAAATCAAAATGGATTGGATTAAACCACTTTCACTACCTAAAAGTCAGCATATTTCTTTTTTTTTAGGGGGAGGGCAGACTTTGAATTAAGCTTTTTACGTTATTAACGTGTATTATTAGTTTCAAGCATTTTGTGGGGAGTTGTGAAAGAGGCCATTTGATAAGAGTTTACGATTTAAGTTGGGATGTTGTAGCAATTTCTAATGATTTCAATTCATTAAGAAAAAAATACCAAATGTCTAAATATAAGAAAGTTACCGTGAGTAATCTGTCTTATACCTATTTTAGAAGGGATCTGCACTACACTAGTGGTTTAGAGCTGATTAGCAAAGCATCACTAAGCATTAGAGGAACTTGGTTATTTAGTCCATTTGACTGAGTGTGCCCTAGGATCGATCCACGGTTGATGTAACTGAATAAATAATTACCTGCCACAGAAATTTAAAATTACCTTTTAAATATTTTTTTTTTCGTATGTAAAAAAAAAAGAAAATACTATTTTTTTTTCCAAATATAAAATTATCCAAGTAATAACTGGTGCCCTGTTTTTTTTTTTTTTTTTTTTTTTACACTAATCTCAATTATGGGGGTTAAATCATAAACTATGATGTTTCTAAGAAAAATTAAATTGGGTTTTAATAAAGTTTCTTTTAACTGATTTACAGCGTTATATAACACAGGAAAGAGTGGATAATTCTGTAAAATGACACCAATCTAATATGTCAGCTAAATTAGGAAAGAATTTAAATTAATTAGTCATGTTTGATTAAAATTTTTCACTATAAAAATGCGAAATTAAAAAAAAAATCTGAGATGGTGAGTTTGGAAAGGTTTTTTTTCTCATGTTAACATGTACCACCAATCCATTTGCAAGTGATAAATTCCTTCTTTGTCAAAATGCTTAGTGTATGGATAGTTTTGAAATTGTCATAATTCGACATATCGAAAGTTATAATCGATATTTCGCTATATTGGGACTCGATATGTTTGATATTAGAAACAAAGGAAAGAGGGTACATATTTATTTATTACTTATCTTAAACAAAAAGAATAAATTAAAATTTGTCTGTAAAAAATAAAGCATTACGAAGAACAAACAAATTAAAAACGATAGAAAAAAATCAATGAATGGGTTATTAAATACTTTTTAAAGTATAGACGGAGAAAAGAAAATTTAAAATCAAAACGGAGTTATTAATGATTAAAATATATCAAACTTATTAGCAATCTTTTTATTTGAAAAACATTTTACTGAAATATAAAATACAACTAATTGCATCATCGGCACTCAGATACTTTGTGTAAAAATAATACCATTTTGATGAGCTATTCACCTGTAGCGGATCCAGGATACAATTTTTTTATGGAGGGTTGCTTTATTTTAATTTTAATTACGGTAATTATTGAATCTCTCGAAGAAAAATAGAAATAAATTACTTATATGAGATGTTATTTAAGTGGTCCTTTAAGGCAGAAACAGAAAAATAAAAATAAAAACTGTAATTACAGCAACATTAATGGTTTAAGAGATAATTTTTTTCTTCACAAGTGCTTGCATTTTGTGGCTGTATATACATTATAATTCAAAAATGGGATATATCTTTGTGTAAATATTTAGCTTAGATCCCACTCATAAACAAATATCGTCCGATGAAAATAAAAATATTATTTTTTTCATTTTTGGGAAGGACATGAATGGTCACCGTAGATCCGGCTTTCCTTGTAGATATATATTTTTTTTTGGGGGGGAGGGAGAGTTGAATTTCATCAAAATTGAGATATGTAATAGAGAGATATATAAATATTTGTCTTGCTTGTACTTACTCTGATGCAAATGTTCTGGCAATTGCATTGTTCCTTACTCAAATGGACCTGTGATTGATAGAACATAGATAAAAAGGATCGAAGAGCTTTCGTGTAGCATTAATTTATGTTTATAAACGCTTAACGGATCATATAAGTGGATATATAATTAAGTAGATTAAAAATGATATTTTATTTCACTCCACTGGATTCATATAAATCACGGTTAAGGCGTTTCGCCCTATCCTTGCCGTTATTTTGTTGGTATTGTTTCTATCGAGAAATCTGGAATTACGATTGATACATGTTATAGTATTAACTATTTTTTTAATAAACACAATGTACTCGTGTATAACTTTTATTCGTTTCCACAGGAATTAAACAGTTCGATGCCGTTAACACCCTTCATCTATATCCCCACCTACCTCCATATTTATATGGTTATGCATTCAATACATACCTGATATAATACATATATTCCGCATATCTCCATATTTATATGTTTAGGCATACAATTAACAAATGTTCGAAAAATAAATACAAATTGTATCATTTCATATTTCCTGTAACCTTGTATTATTTTTTCTTATCTTCTTAGCATTGATTAAGGGGTTTAGCTTTATAACTTTTTAGTAGCCTTATCTTTTGTTGTTTGTTTTTTTCTTACCTTCAAATTAGAAAGTTGTTCTGCCCCCAATCCAACTTATTTTTCTTGATACATCTATATTTCGAAAACGGCTTTTCGATTTAAACCGAAGTAGGAGGAAATTTGTTATAGTAGATGGTTGTTGACAAAAATTCATAACTGTGTTGTTTCTTTTTTTTGGATCATAATGCTTCTGATCACAGAATTACACAGTTTTGAAGTTATTCTTTGTTAAATGAATCTACTATAATTCTTTGTCCGCCAAATAAATTTTGTCTGAATGTTGATCTGAAGCTTTATCAAACACCATTTTTCTTGAATATTTTATCATTATATCCTTTTCTTAAAACCGAAAAAAATGTTTATTTATAAATTAAATTGTTTGTGAACGTGTTATCCTCCACCATTTTCGTTCTCTGAACTTCTGTCTCCTTCACAAAGTACCCACACTTCACATTTGTTGTTTGCTCTTGTCATTTCCTAAAATATGATTAATGGTAATTTTACCCAATTCCGTACGATTTTAGGCTGTATGCGATGTTAATATATAGAATTGAATTTTGGCTAAATGTTGGATGTTTAGTAGTTGGTAATTGGAAGCCATGATATTTATCTTGGAAACAATGATTGTCGGGATATCTTCTTAGTCATTTTAATAGAACTATCAACTCAGCCTGCTTAACATAATGAATATTCACGTATAATACATATATATATATTTTTTTTGTTACAGTGTATTCAAGTCGCTACCAATGTGACGGAGCAGAAGCATAAAGTCTCAAGGGACAAGAGAGGTCAAGTTCTTGGAAATGTCCGAGGTTTCAGGGGCTGTACTGTCTGGTTCACAGGTGGGTTATTTTTTGTACATTGTTTTGTTACCTGAATAGTACATCTCCTTTCACCAATTGAACATATACCAATTATTTTCAATTAAAGTAAAAGTCTAATATTTGATAATTATGATTACTTTTTTTTTTTTTTTTTTTTTTTTTTTTTTTTTTTTTTTTTTTTTTTTTTTTTTTTTTTTTTTTTTTTATTGAATAATAATACAATCAGCCACTGTTGGAGGGCTATAAGTATTAAGGCTAAAAGTTCTCATTCATACAGTATATACAAGTAATACAGAAGTAACTATAAATATAAAAAGTAAATAAATAATACTTATAAAAAAAATGTAAATCAATAGAAAAAAAAAAATAAAATAAAATAAAAAAATAAATAAACAAAATAAAATAAAAACTTCTAAACACATTCATACCTATATACAATATATACATTCGCCCAGGAATCTCCGAGCCAGGCCTTTCTCCCCACATGTGGAAAGCAAAGCAGGACTACAGAGATCCCAGTGCCACTTTTCCAGCCGCATCACTAGTATTAAAAGCCAGTGGAGGCTTAAGGAGGGCACTAGAGCCACAGATGCTCAGGACTTGAGTGGAGAAGCTGGCCATTGCCAGGACTCCAGAAGCATATTTACAATAGATCTCGCGGCCACTGCCGTTTTAACCTTCGAGGGGGATTGTAGGGATGGTGGGAGCTGGATAGGGATTGAGCTATAGGATTTGGATGATGGATAAGGTTCTGGTGAAATTTGGAGAATTTTTCTGGGATGAGGTCTAGGACAAATGGGATATTAAGGTCATGGTGTAGGGTTTTGTTAGTTACATAGCATCAACTATTATGATTACTAAGCTAATAGTAAGACCATCTATTGTTTTTTACTTTCCTATCTATACTAGGTAAGGAAAGTATTGCAATCGGGTCAAATTTCGACGGATCTATACGTTTCACAGCCCCTTGAGTCCGAAAAGCCATTTTAGCCATTGGTCTGTATGTCTGTCTGTCTGTGCCAAGATTTTCTCGGAAACTTCTGACTACCGATGCCTGTGACAGAAAATCAGTGCTCCATACGCAATAGCTTGCGCGCAATAAATGAAAAACACGTTTTTCTAAAGACTGTAGCGCAAAAACGGCTCTAACGATTTTGATTAAACTTTCCTATAATGTTCTAATCATTGTCCTTTCAATTTTTGTATCTGGATTAAATTCCCGAAAAAATTCAGAAAAAAAAGTTATAAAGAAAAGAAATATTTTATGGGGCCTAACTCGCTAAGTATATATTATACGGTAAAATTTATAATAAAACTTTTGAAAAGTAATTAAATTACCAACAAAACAAAAAAAAATCATTGGAATCGAACCAGTATTAGCGATGATACAGCTTATTCTATTTTTTACACATTTTTTTAACTTATTACTTTCCTACCTATACTAGGTAAGGAAAGTATTACAATCGGGTCAAATTTCCGACATGCGGTTTTCGACGGATCTATACGTTTCACAGCCCCCTGAGTCTGAAAAACACATTTTTAGCCATTGGTATGTCTGTGCCAAGATTTTCTCGGAAACTACTGAACCGATTTTGTTGCTTCTTTTTTTTATTTTGTAGGGTTTGAACTACCGATGCCTGTCACAGAAATTCGGTGCTCCATGCGCAATAGCTTGCGCGCAATAAATGAAAAACAAGTTTTTCTATAGACTGTAGCGCAAAAACGATTTGATTACACTTTCTTATATCGTTTGAAAGGTAATGAAATTCACTACAAAGCCATATAAAAATCGTTCATTTTGGACAACTATTAACGAAGTTACAGCTATTCAATTTCCAATGAAAGGTTACAAGTTTACTGTAGCCCGCATCACACAATCTTCACTATTTCCTCTCCTTCAACAGAAATTATTGTTTGACAATACTAAGCTGTAGCAAAAAGTTTTTGATCAGCAATATTAGTGAGTATCGAAATTTTTACACTGATCTACCTTAAGCCGGTTTCATTGCCTTAGTTTATCTAAAAATTGTACTCAAATCTTTTGTTTGATCAATTTTCAGGAAAATAAATGTAGTTCAATTCTTTTTTGTTTCTTCATGAACATATGTAAAGATATAAAAACTTTTCTGAAATAGGTAGGAAAGTCGTGTGAGTTGACACACCAGATTTTATCATTTTATATTATGTATTGGTTTATTATTTTCAATAATGAACCATTGTAATCGTCCAAAAATATTTAACCTCCCTCAAAATTTGAGGTTTTATGTTTCATGATTCGTAGAATTCGAAAATCGAATAGAAAGTTCTTGGTCCGTCCGGCTTCAGCGGCTTTTCTCCGAATCTACTGGACCGATTTTTTTAATCAAAGTCAGAAGTCACCCGAGGATGACCCTCCTCGACATTACTGTCCACCATTTTCTTCCAAGATGGCGACGGAAAAACCTTTGTTGGTATAGACTGTAATGTCTAAATGAATGGACCAATTTCAATGAAACGGCTACAGTGTTCTCCTCGATGCCCTATTAATTTATCTATATAACATACTTCAACGAAAACAAGCTGGAAAAAAAGTTACGAGAGGTTCCCTAGTAACTCAAGAGTATACACTTAGATATGTTGTTCTAAATATGTTGTATATGTTTTACTGCAGAGCATATATGATGTGTTTGATTTTTTGAAAGTTTTACATCAACTGTAGCAATTTTGTCTATTTTTCAAGCAAATTATCAATGATAAAAAATAAAATTATATAGGCCAATATTAGGAATCACTTTTCATTTATTTTCCTTATTGTTTCCGTGGAAAGTAATGTTAATTTTGATGTTTGAAAGTAACAAACTATTGTGTAATAATTAACTGCGTTTTTTATTTATGTTTATTAAAACAGATACGATTGCTAATAAGAAACCTAGTGATCGATTACTTTTCATTTGATTGTAGAGTATTTATTAACAAAATAACTAACTGAAAATCGAATTCTTATTCGATTAGCCTTATTATTCATAAATCTATTATTGCGTTTTATATCCAAAATTTATTGCTGAGTACAAAGCGTAGGTTCTACTGTTTTATTTATCTACTCTCAAGGAGAGGTCATAGTCAGTGGGTCATCGATTTAAAATATATTTTTTTTATTCTCCTTCCAAAAATGGACAGTATCTCTGCATTATAAGAATAATCGTTATACATTATAACGAATAAATAAAAAGAGGCTCTTCCTCCACTCAAATATTAAATCCTGAATTCGCTATTGCTCACTGTTAACTTATTTTTTTTTTTTATTATCTTTATATATAATTTCTTAAAGGTTTTTTTCATTTTTTTTTTTCGTTAACGCACGCCTTATTTTCGTTAACAGGAATGTCCAGAAGGAGGTTTCATGGGGTTTTGAATTTCAGCGGGGTTGTAAATTTACGGAATGAAAAGCTTCAAACCAAAAGGCAATGGAAAAGATAAAAGATAATAAAGGAATTGTAATTATATATCGACTGCCACACTACAAAACCCTGTAAGGACAATTTTTTGGAAAATGAAGTTTTAAGCTGTTCTGGTCAATCTTGTCTTGGACCATATCTTGATCCCACAAAATGGAATCTACCACTAGCAGGATAGGGATGTAGGATTTAATTTTGGAGGGAGCTTCAGCCCGAAAGCTTTTTTTTTCATAAAAGTAACGATAATTACTTTGGAAAAACTAACTACCTATATTAAATGGTGTTTAAGTGATTCCTCAAGTCCTTTGTAATTACACGAACAATAATACTTTAAGAGGTATTTTTAAATATTTTTCTCCATAAAACATGGTTACATTTTACCATTTTGGGGGAGGGGGGGCTTCAGCCCGAAAGCCCCACCCGTAGATCCGCCCGTGGAATCTACTATGTTTCATTTGTTCTCTATGGCCTTTTGTTAAAACCTGTAAGTTGAAAATCAGCAAATTGTGATGTAATTTACAGTGAAGGTTATAGGTATTTTGTCATTACCGGAAAAACGAAATGAAAATCTCAATGAAAGGTGATCGTGAAATATAGAATGTCTAGGCGTTATGCGCATAGACTAAAGTATTAAAAATTATTATTCGATTGCCTTCTATTTAACCATATAAATATCACCAGAGATTCAGTGTAATTCGTAAGCCATTTTAAGAAAACACTGGGTAGTATAAATTACATGAGTTTACGATCGACTTTAACATCATTTGTATTTCTGTTTATGATTATTTATTTATCAATTATGGAATTGAGAAGTGGTTTAGTGTCTGTTTAAGTACCTTGTAGGCAAGTCAGATTCAGAATTAATTGATAATCGATTCCTATTAAGTATGTGCAAACCTCCCAATAGCTCAACATCCTATAGACCAATTAGCCTACTCCCAGTCCTTTCAACAATTTTTGAAAAGATCCTTTTGAAACGAATCCTACCCATTATAGAATCCCAAAATATTCCTTCCCATCAGTTTGGTTTTCGCTCTCAACATTCTACTGTTCAACAAGGACTCCGTGTTGTTGATCATATTTCCTCAGCCCTAGAAAACAAGGAATACTGTTCGGATGCATTTCTGGACATTGCACAGGTATTTGACCGAGTATGGCATGCCGGATTGTTTTTCAAACATAAAATCCATTTGCCTCAATCCTTGTACCTAGTCCTCCGATCCTACCTCTCTGACCACTCCTTTCGAGTTCGCTGTGGAACAGAATTTTTCAATATCTACTCCGTTAAAGCCGGTGTTCTCCAAGGCAGCGTCTTGGGTCCAGTGCTTTACATCCTCTTTACTGCTGACATCCCTGTTCATCCCGATACTTTCCTTGCAACATTCGCTGACGACACCGCAATCTTATCATCTAACTCTGATTCCGAAATAGCATCCTTAAATCTCCAAAGCCACCTCACCTTGATTGAGCACTGGTGTAATAACTGGCGCATTAAAGTTAATGAATCTAAATTCCAACATATTACCTTTTCACTCCGACGCGATTCCTGTCCACCAGTAAACTTTAATTCCATCCAGCTTCCTTATTCAGACACAGTCCGTTATCTTGGCTTTCATTTAGACCGAAGACTAACATGGAACCCACATACTAGACTCAAAAGACAAGAACTCAACCGACGATACGGCCAGCTATACATAATACTAAACAGAAAATCTAAACTTTCTATTGAAAACAAATTACTTATCTACAAGACAATCCTAAAACCTATATGGACATACGAACTTGAACTGTGGGGAACAGCAAAATATTCTAACATCAAACGTATTCAATCCTTTCAATCTAAAGTCCTTCAAACAATAGTTGATGCTATGTAACTAACAAAACCCTACACCACGACCTTAATATCCCATTTGTCCTAGACCTTATCCCTGAAAAATTCTCCAAATTTCACCGGAACCTTACCTATCATCCAAATCCCCTTGTACAATCTCTATCTAGCACCACCCATCCTTATAATCCTCCTCGAAGGTTGAAGCGGCTGTGGCCCAGAGAATTGTTGTAAGAATATATTGGAGGTCTGGTAATAGCCAGATTCTCCACTCAAGCCATGTATGTCTGGTCATAGTGTCTCTGCTCAGCCTCCATTGGTAATACCAGTGATGCGGTTGAGTGAAAGACGCTGGGATCTCCTAGAGTTCTGCCTTTCCCTCCACGAGTGTGGGGAAAGGCTTGGCTCGGAGATCTTGAGTGAATGAATATTGTAAATATTTTATAAAAGAATGTATGTTTTTTATTGACACTAAGAAACCTATATGGTTTTCTTCTAAAATAAAAGAAGAAACCCATATAGGTTAAATCTTGGTTGAATCAGCCATTGTTAAGTAGTTATAATAAATACTTTTAATTTGTTAGATTAGTTTATTTTTGTTTAGTTTAGTATCTTTTTGTTTATATACATTTCCACTTAGTATTATTTTATTGCTGTTTATTACTTTTATTTATTGTGCATAGTATGAATGCGCTAATATTTATCACTATTACCATTGTCCTTGAATGTGACAGATTGTAATATATCTCAATAAAGAAATAAAAAAAATTAAGTACGACTCATTTTTCTTTTCTTTTCAGAGATTGACAGTATTGACCAGTTTCTGTAATAAACTGTAGTTGTTACTGTAATAAATTTTACTACTTTTACCTAATTAATACCTGTTTTTCAGATTCAGTAAAAATCTGTAAGTTAGAAGTAGATTACTGTCAGTCATTAAAATGGTTCTGAAAGATTATTCAATAGAAATACAATCAAATAGATTACATAGAGCATTTCATCTTTGTCATTCACCTGAAAAAAAAAAATATTATATAATGTTTATAGAACAAAAATTAAGCAGTTTTTTCATCTCCTGAAAATTTTTAGTTTTTGTTCTTAAGGCTATCGCAGTGTGGATGTGGATATAATCCACGGTTTGCCTAATTCTACTTTGTCTTTCACTGTTTTTTTTAAAAGAAATGAACAATAAAATATTTTCAGAGGGAAGGGATCCATGTACCATTCTACCTTAATATTTCATCAGATCCATGATTGAACCATATTTAAATATTATCTTATTCTGTCTCGTAAAATAAGCAACAAAAAATCTGCATTCCCAGAAAAAACAAGAACAAGTTGTGAAGACAAGAAAATTATTTGTGTTTAACTTAAAACTTATACAATTTATGGTTTATCACACCCATGATAATTTGGATGTTTTTTTCTAAATTCTCTACAAAAAGAAGAAAAAAAAATCGAAATCAGACCAATATTTGCAAATTGATTGGTTCGTTGTTGCACAATAAAGGCTTAAATCTGTTGGTTATCAACACCGTTAATTAAGATTATATATAACTATATCTACTGGTTGTGAATAATAGAAATTAAATTAAATTAAAAAGACATAAAATGCACGCTAAGTTTAAAGTTATTTAAGATTATTATAATTGTAATAGTAATTGTAATTAAAGTTAAGTGTTTTAAAGTTAGCATGTTAAGTGAATAAAAAAAGAAAAGAAAAAGAATGGGGGAGGAGGTGTTGTGTGAGAGGTTCAAAGATAGTGAATTGAATAATGAATAGGGAATAGTGATGTTCAGTAATAGTAAAATTAGCAAATTTATTGAAAGGCTATTGGAATTTATATACATGTTTTTATTTATTATTCAATAATTTACAATTGTAATTGAACGAGAAAAAATAATTACTACTTCCATATCATAATATATTGCATTTACTTATTTCCAAATTATATTATCATTGGTTCACTGTTCTCAATATAAACAACCTGAGGAATTGTCAGTAATTATTATTTTTTATAATTATTATTTTGTCAATTATGGTAACTGCATATTTAAATTAGTCAGTTATGGGGCATGTCAATGCAGATATTACTGTCCAAGTGTTGATGTTAAAGTTTAACCGAATGTTGTATAATTATGACAATATGCAGAAATCTTGTTATGTTAATTTTTTTAATTAAATCATGTAATTTAAAAAAAAACTATTCTCACCATGGTAATGACCATAATTAGGTAACTTCTCAAAAAATCTGTAATATATTCAATTTTTATCAGCACAAATTTTTTATTTACTTTGCTATAAAGCTCTTACTGCTAGTAAAAAGTTTATAAACCTAGCACATTATCTACCTTTTATTTGTGTATATTTTTATTTTTTATTCTGTATAACTTCTGATGTTAAACATTACAGGACTGTCTGGTGCTGGTAAAACATCCATTTCGTTCCATCTGGAGGCATATCTGGTTTCAAAAGGTATTCCAGCCTATGGTTTGGATGGAGATAATATTAGGACAGGGCTCAACAAGAATCTTGGCTTTAGCCCTGAAGATAGAGAAGAAAATATACGTAGGGTCGCTGAGGTGGCCAGACTCTTTGCTGACAGCGGAGTCGTAGCATTGTGCAGTTTTGTATCTCCTTTTTCCCAGGTATTTGATTATGTATTATGAAAATATTTACTCTAGATTAACAGCTTGAGGAAGAACTGTTTAGTGCACATGGCCTTACTATATCCCTTTGTTTTAAAATAAAAATTAGCTTATGAATTGGTGCAAAAAAAAAAATTATATATATCAAATAAGAATGTTTGAAAAAGAATTGAAGATAGTATATCTGACAAAGTCACTCTTTTCTGAAGTAATGTAAATAGGGAATGCATGGCATGCCCTTCATTGAATATAACTTCTTGGTATAAGCTCTACCCGCTAGAATCTCTCTTCAGTTTTTTTGGAATGTAATCCTAGGCTTCTGTAGTTGTTATTCACTATAACTTATTCTCATTCGATCAAATGTATGGCTCACTAGATTAGAATAGTTAATTGAGTATGTAAATTATTATTATATTTACAATAAGTCAATTTATTACAAAAGATTCATCAAGGGGAAATTAGAAGTCCTGCATTATTTCGCAGACAAGTATATAACTGCATATAGTTGGAAAGTTCGTGGGGTGTTGTAATCAGTGAGAACACACAATTAAAAATAAAAGAGTTTTGTCTTATTTTGTGCCGGCATTTCGGCCTTAGTCGCAAGCCTTCATCGGGGCTGAGAAAAGACGACAACCAAAATTATTAAAAAACTATTATAAAAGAATATTAGAACAAAAAATATGTTATTCGCTAATAAATAAATTTTAAGATGTAAATAATAATTAGTATTACATTTAATGGTAAGGTATGAAAATATAAATAAGCCATGATGAAAAATAAGAAAATGAAAGATAATAATAAACAATAAAATGATAAATGAAGTTAATATTAAATAATATAGATACATCAGAGAAATAGATAATATATAAAATAAATAAGATGTGTTAATTATTGTAAGATGATATAATATTTTCATTCTCAAATTGTCATTCATTTCTACTACACCTATTATGTCTTTATCTTTGAAAATTTACCACATCTTATTTCTCTGATGTATCAATTGCTATGTTTTGAGGTAAAAATTACTCGGAATGCCACTGGATAATTATTGATGATAATTATCCAGAAATATTTGATAAAAATGAATAATATAAGATTAGTTAAACAAATTTGAATCTATAATATATTTGGTCCAGGATTAATTAATTGAATTTCTTTTCTCAAAGGCTGGTTTGTGTTTATCATGCTTTCTAATTGCCAACATTACCTGTGATCATGATATAAATAGGTGACAGAATTAAAATAACTTTTACTAAAAAACTTAATTTATTTCTATGTTTAATAAAGAATAATATACAAATAACATAAAAATCTTAATGTGCAAATACTATATATAATAAACTAAATACATGATTCAAAGAATTTAATAATAAACTATGAAGGTATGATTTCAGATGGACTGTTCTGAGGGTTGTATTGCCATGAAATATTCTAATATTGGTAAATTTATTATTGGGAATTACAATTTATATTATGGTATGTGAAGTGGTGTAGTTAGTAGGTTTCATCACTGCATCTGCTGATTCAAGATCATCTCATCAAGCCCAGGTCCAAACTTAGCCAGGAGGCCTATCTTCACGGTCTATGTAGGGGCTAGCTGCAACTCCAGCCCCCAAAGCCGGAAAAATACATAAGACTCCTTTTCTTACTTCTTGGCAAGGATGGTTTTGATTGGTTCAGAACTTCACCCTATTACTTCACAATAACTGCTAACACCCTAAAAGGAACCAGTTACTTAACCCGTTACTAAGTTACCAGTTACTCTGAGTACAGGCCTTCTCTAGAGCACCTTGTCCTTAATTTACCTGGTCTCTTCCTTGATGCTGTCCTTTGATGTCTGCAGATGTGTTTGGTGTCAGCATATTTTAAGTTTGTTTTCTGCATCTCGTAACAATTATAAAAGCTTATTCGCTATGTTCAATACATAGCATAATATCACTTAATATTAGATTTTATGTCTTCATTATTTAATTGTTGATTTCATTATCTTATTACTGTTACTTTGTTGTCTATCGCTTTATATATTTTTTTATTTAGTTTTTTTTTTACATTTTAGCTTACTTATGTTTTAAAAGGCCATGTCTTTTGAACTTCAGAGTTGGAGGCAATATACACTATCATTGGTATTATTGTCTCTGGGATAAGCCCATTTGCTAGACTGAGTCCCCCCATCTGTACCAGAACCAGTACCTATATTTTCATACCCTACCATTAAATATATTACTCATATATTTTAATTTGTATTCACTTCTTAAAATTTATCTATAATCAGATAACATATTTTTGGTCTTATATTCTTTTACAATATTTTTTTAATTATTTTGGTTGTTATCTTGACTTTTCTTAGTCCTAATGAAGGCCTGCAACATAGCCTGAAATGTTGGCACAAAATATAATACAAATCTTTTTTTTTTTTATTTGTGTGTTCTCTCTGACTGCAACTCCCAACGAAGTTCTCAACCATATTGTCTACAGTCAACTATTTCTACCATATTATGTATTTGAATGAGTTTAGTTAAACATAATTTGACATACTTGTCAAAAAGACAAGGAAGGAAGAAGGAAATAAGAAAAAGCTAAATATACTTTAAGTTTAAAATTTATAGCATGAAGTATCGTTTAGACCTAATGCTCATAAAATTATTTCAGGACAGAGAATTGGCCAGAAAAATCCACAAAGATAATGACTTACCCTTCTTTGAAGTTTTTATTGATACTCCAATAAATGTCTGTGAGCAAAGGGATGTTAAAGGCCTCTATAAAAAAGCTAGACAAGGAGTAATAAAAGGTGAGATGTCATATAATCTACTGTATATGGTCATTCTCCCAAGATGGCAGAATTTTTTATTACATTTTATTTATAATTTGTTTCCCAACATATTTAGTCTCATATTTTTTATACATAAATGACAATCAGGCATGCCTGGTTACATTCCTGATTTGGACACACATAAAAAGTGATATCTAACATTATAAGTTATAAGTTTCTTTTAAGTTTTCATGGGACATGGAACTGATTCTGATGACTAGGGGTTGTTAAATGGTCAACAATTATAGCAGCTCAAGTTAAGAAAATTTTCTTTGAGTTGATTATTGAAGTTATTGCCAAATCCGCTTCTTTTTTTTTTTTCAATTAGAGTATTGTTAAGACTATATGGCACTAGATTTATGTATGCAGTACTTTAATTTTTAGTGCTTTTATATTTTAATTAACAAAGATTTAAATCTAGGTCTAGTATTTTATTTTCTATTGATGCAGACCATTGAGATTTTGAAAATAAAAATTGAAATAGGAGGGATTTTGGATTGTTTACCTGGAGATTGGAAATGTAATCAACATATATTTAAAAATTCTGAAATTACAATGGGAATTCCTGCTATAATCAATTTCAATATTCAATTTTTGAAAACCAAGTGATAATTATCCCATAGCAACTGTTATACCTAGGAGGGTTCCAGGAAATAAATTCTTTTATATTGAAAATGGTATAGGCTTAAAAACAAAAATCCTCCATTGAAATGTTCTAAACACAATTTGTGTTGTCTCAATTCATTGAATTATAAATATTGGAATTTGAAACCTTTTTTCAAAGACTTTTATTCAAGTTGTAGTACAAATTTAAGTATCAATATCGGGATTCTTTGCCCCTAAGAGTCAAAAAAGGAAGATATAATTATCCTATTATGTATGTGTATATATATATATATATATATATATATATATATATATATATATATAAGATATTTTAAAAGTATTTTGAGCTCAAATTATCTCCAAACATTAAGAGATCTTGCTGCATAATTTTAACCATCAAACATAAAAATCTATTAGGCCATTCACTCAAAAAAATTGGGTCATACCTTCAAGCAGACAGATTAAACACGTTTAATACAAAAATTTATTCGAATTTAAAGCTCAAACAAACTCACAGGATCTCGTTGAATAATTTGGTCCATCAAACTTAAATATCAGTTGAGCTTAATTAATAACATTAGTTATATGAATAAACTGTATCTCTGGGTCTTGTGGGATTCTTTCATATTTCCATTTAGAGGGGATGAGTTTTATAAAAAATATTTAAAAACTACTTATTTCATTATATAACATAAAAAATATGGACTATATGACATAAAATTATCCCAAAAATTAAAATTTTCTTCTCTATAGTGCCATTCTCCCATCTCCCATCCGGATCCACCATTGATTTTTATGAATGGAATTTAACATTATCAATGATTTCTTCCTTACAGTGTTCCATTGACTCCACCATTTAAAACTTTATTTTTTCATCTCTGTTGTAAAATAATATAAGGTTCTTTGTTGATTAAAACATCTCCAATGTCATTTGGCATAATTCTTAAAACAGAATTATTTTGATCATACAATTAAATTTTATAACTATTGATGAAAATATGTTTATATAAATGAAGCTATAATATTTTTTTTTTAATATTTTTAAAAAATCCAAGTTTATTTTCTGATTTATTTCCTCTTCTAATCTTCCTCACAGCATAATTTTTAGAAATATTTCATGATTTGAAAATCTCTTAGAACAACCATGAAAGGTTTTTCTTCAAAATTTACATAGTTTAGTAATAGTTTTAAGCAGAGATGGTAGATGGTAGAGGGCAAATGCTACCCTGAGTAGCGAGTCCCAAGTGTTTTACTCTAATTTAATTACTGTTGATAATTCAATCACTACTTCAGTTAATCGTTTGAAATCAACTGAAGTAGTAAATATATTCTTTGCTGCATAAAAAAGGTCAGTATTTGAGTAAAATACTTGGTGCTCGGTACTCAGAGTAGCATTTGCCCAACTCTGGTTTTAAGATATATTAGTTTTTCCAAATTCTGGAAGAAAACAATTTTTTCTTTTGCAGGGTTCACTGGAGTTGATCAGCGATATGAAAAACCAGAGCATCCGGATTTAATTGTCAAAACAGTAGAGATGACAGTGGAAGAAAGCTGCATGCAAGTTGTGGAACTTCTTCAGCAACATGTAAACTTAATACCTTCTCGATTCAACTATGTAATAAGTTTTAATCTTTTAATACAAATGTCTCTTGTGGTGCCGTTCGTCTGATTCGCACTGAAGCACTTGTCCATGTATTTTTAATCTAGCTGTCCATATTCAGCACCAAACTAATTTGAAAGGATATTAAAATGATCCTGTATCACTGTTATGCGGCACATAGTTCTTAATCATTATTCCTTTTTAGGTGGAAATAAAACCTAAATAGAATTTCTATTTTTTTATAATTTGTTATGAGGCCATCTGAATTGCTTAGGGAACATTTTTCTAACTATGTATAATATTGATCTCATGTTATGAAACTGCTTGATAAGTCTGCAGTCAGGAGTATTAAGGTCTTTCATCGATCTAAAAGTTACTATAATTTCATGTTGTACACCTTTATTTTTATTTTTACTGTGGAACACCTTAAGGTGAATTTTTATTTTTATAATTCAGTGGAATAGAGAGTTTATGTTTTTACTTATTACTTTTAATTGAATTCTGTGTTCTCTTGGTGGATACACACTAGAACCTTGATTAGATCAGGTGGTAAGTCGGAATATCTGATAGGTTGGATTAAACAGAGACAGAAAAAATAAGTTTTTACATTTATAAAAAATTATTTTAATTTCTCACTCTTCCCCTTCACTATATATAGCCTATTTATAAGAGAAATTTACGTTTTCTATCCAAAGAAAAAGTGGTGATTATTTTTTTGAAAAACTGTTTAGTAATGATAACATTTAAGAATGTACAATAAAAGTTAATTTTTAAAACTCAGTAATCTTTTATATTGATAAATTTTGTAATACAAATTACGGGTCATTTGATGGATACCTGACTTAATGCCCTTCTCTACAATTTAACAACAATTTCAAGATAAAACACAAAATACTTGGATGAAACATCTAATAATTTCTTTCTCTTCAGAATAAGGTCTCAATAATTAACAAAAAAAATAATCAAATTTATTTGTTTGAATTGTCCTGAACATTGAAGGTTTACAGTTACAAATGAAAGAAGGAATTATAGGTACCTCTATATTATATAGACTAGACCAATTTTAGATATTCAACTTTTATTAAAAATAATTGAGAAAACTTTATTTTTTAATCTATTTGAAATTTTCAATATTATACATTCCAAAACTTTTTTATTAAAATTTAAATAATTTTGGTGAAACCTTTGGTATACACTAATATTTGAGATTTTAAATGTTCAAATATTAGTATTAAAGCTGTTTTTCTAAATCACTAAAATAAATATTTTGGATGATTATGTTCTTTCTAAAAAAAAAAAAAGCATTCGATTCTTTGATAGGAATATTTTTTTTCTTACCTGTTCTACAGTGTCTTATCAGTGATTTCCTATCATACCCGATTGATTTTTCATAACTTGTACAGAAATTTCTTATCAAATTTCTACTTGAGGTATTTTTATATCCAGATTTTTTAATTTTTGACAAGAGACTAGATTTTACTTTCAGCATTATTAGTATTTTTTTTTTTTTTTTGTTTTGCTTTATAATTATGAAATTACTAAAAATCAATTCAAAGCCAAAAGAGATACTGAATGAATGAGTGAGAACTCAAGTCAAAACCATAACAATAAATGTCTTACTAACAAAACAGCTTTTTATTGTCCAATACTTTAGGTATGGTCTATCCCAAGGATATTTTTCACTTGTGTTTACTTCATCTTTTTGTAATGTTAAATTTGATTTTTGCTTGTTACAGAATTATTTACCTTCCCCATATTTTTATCTAGAATAATGAATTTAACTTGAACAATATTGTAAAATCTTGAGCCAACTCTCTTCTCTTACTGCAATCCATACCTCGCTTCCTGAACGCCTCTTGTACCCTGTCTTCCCAGGATATGCGTGGTCTTCCTCTAGGTCTCCTTTCCTCCTCAAGGGTCTCGTATGTCTTCCTGACTCTTCTCTCTTGATCCATTCTAAGAATATGTGCGAACCATCTTAGCTTGTGCTCCTCTAGGATGGTTTCAGCCGGTTTGACCTCGAGGCTAGTCCATACAGTGGCATTCCGGACCCTATCTCTTCTGACCTTTCTCTCGACCTTCCGAAGGTATCGCATCTCCATGGCTTTAATTTGACTTTTGTGTTTCGAGGGGAGGGTCCACGATTCAGAGGAGTACGAAAGGATAGGGAGAAATGTTGATTTGTAGACTGCTACTTTAGTTCGCTTCGTTATCTCTCTTCTGCCCAGAAATCCCCTCCGGAGAAGATAGAACACTCTGCCAGCTGCCCCGATTCTTTTATTCACCTCTTCATCAACATAACTGCTGTCGTTGAGATGAGCACCCAGATACTGCAAATTATCTACCTGCTCCAATCTCTCACCACTTACTCTCATCACCCTCATTATTATCTGGGGCTTCTTCCCTATTCTCATATATTTAGTTTTTCCCAGGTTAATCTTCATGTTTATCGTGGCTATTTCTTCCTGGAGGATGTTGATGTATTGGATATCTCGATCGTTGGCAGCTAGCAAGACCAGGTCGTCAGCAAACACCAGCACAGAGAATCTTGTTAGTTGCAGTTTTTGGTGTCCTAGGTGGAACTGCCTCATCCTTAGTTTAGCCTTTCTAAGTGCCATGTCTAAAACTATTATGAACAGTAGCAGGCTTAAGCTACAACCTTGGCGAATACCTAATGTCGTCTCAAATTCTTCTGAAATGTGGTTCATGGTCCTAATCACATTTCTGGTCTTGTTATAGAGACTCATCACAGCCAAAATCGTTCCATGATTGGTCCCTCTTTCAGACAATGCCCGCTCTATATCTTCCTTCCTCACTCTGTCGAAAGCCTTTTGGAGGTCCACGAAGCAGACAGAAAGCTCCTTATTCTTCTCGACCGTCTTTTCTGTAATTTGTCGCATTGTGAAGATAAGATCCTGTGTACTTCGCTGCCCTCTGAAGCCGTATTTTCCTTCCCCGAGCTGACTATCCACCAACCTTCTTACCCTTGTCTCCAGTATACTGGGTACACTGAGAAGCAATATTCCTCGATGATTCCTACACTCTCTATTATCTCCTTTCTTATAAATGGGCATGATCACTGCCACTTCCCAGTCTTTCGGAATTTTCTTTTCCTTCCAAATCAGGTTCAGAAGATGGGGGAATGTCTCTTGGCCTTTGTTACCCATGAGCTTAATCATTTCGGGAGTGATTTCATCAAGAACTGCTGCCTTGCCTAGCTTGATCTTGTCGATGACTTCTTGCAGTTCTTCCTCACTGATGTAGTCGTCTTTGACCCAAACATTCTCCACCCCGCTCCGAGTCTCACACATTTCTACATCTCTACCCTCAAACAGTTCTTTAAAATAGTCCCTCCATCGTTCCATAATCAGTTCCAGATGATCTCCCCATTTTTATCTTTGATTCCTTTAAGTATATTATTGTAAAATAAAAAGTTAAATATTAACGCACACATGTACATTTGTATTTATAAATCATCTTATTTATCACAAAATTGCGAAAATGTGCAACTAAATGCAAAAATCAAAATTGTGCTATTTAAACCAAAAATGTGCAATATAAAATTAAATATATTATTCTACAGAGCATGAATTGGATTGATCTTTGGGTCCAGAGTTTTTACTTGCAAGTGAATAAAATGTGCAATAACATGGAAATCCGGTCTTTAGTCATACAATTAAACCGAAAGATTAAGATTAGGAAGATACATAGAAGGGTTTCTATTATCATGAGAATATTAACTAATTATATAAATAAGTATAAGTTCAAAATGAAAATCCAAAGTTAAGGTAGTGAAAACATGTATGGCTAGTTAATAGGTATGTCAACTCATTACATGATAGTTCAGTTAAGTAAATATTGTCTCTTTTATAGGAGTTTTCTTAAATATATATATATATATATATATATATATATATATATATATATATATATATATATATATATATATATATATATATATATATATATATATATATAATCAATTTTATTCATTGCAAATATTCCAGGGAATCATTCCCTCAAATCTGGAGAACAGTACCAGAGTAAAGGAGTTGTATGTTGATGACAATAGACTAGAAAAAGCTATAAAGGAAGCAAGTGGGCTCCAACAGTTGCCTATCAATGAAGTGGATCTCCAATGGGTTCAAATTTTGGCGGAAGGATGGGCATCTCCTTTGGAGGGCTTCATGAATGAAGATCAGTTTTTGCAGGTTTGTTAACCTCATTTATTCACAAGGATTGGCATGTTCTACCCAAATAATTAATTTATATTCTGAAACAGAGGATAATGGACATTAAAAAAAAAAATTTAATTTTTTTTTTTAAATAGTGCGAAAACTGTCCTACTTTGCTGGACATATTTTTTTTTCTTATTACAGCTAAAAATAAGTCTTAATTGTTTATATAACTGTTTTAGGTAATTCACTTTAACTGCTTGGAAGGAATGAATCAGTCCATTCCTATAGTGTTACCAGTTGCCAGCTCAGATAAGGCTAGGCTAGAAAACTGTACCGCATTCACTCTAAGTTACAACGGGCGTCCAGTTGCAATTTTAAGGAAGCCACAGTTCTATCCACATAAAAAAGAAGAGAGGGTTTGCAGACAGTTTGGAACATCCAACCATAATCATCCTTACATTAAGGTCAGCTATTATATTTCAGTTACAAAAAAAAAAATTATTTTATGTAATACTCAGTATTGTACATTTAGAGATAAATTTCACGTCCTCATCCATCCTACGTAGAGAGAGTTACGATACTCTTTGATCATTATTTCCTTCAAAATCTGATTTGATAAACACTTTTTTTACTTCATTGAATGCACAATAGTTGTGCTTCTTAAGTATTCAAAATTATACTTTCTTTAATCTACTCAATCTATTTTGAGGAAACTTGACAAGCTTGTTGTCATTAGTTTTGCGTAAAATAAACTTGTTTTTCTTTTTTGGGAAGGGAGGGGTCGAGTCTTCTAATATTCTGACTAAATTATGATCCATTAGCGTTTATGAACCTGAATGAATCTGTTTTGTTTTATTTTGGATTATCTGTACCATTTTCAATTTTATCCTCCCCAAGGTATTATTTAAAATCCACTTTCAAATCTTCTTTTTTTTTGCACTTTTTTTTTATCCTATTTATTCATCTGATAGTCATTAATAGATCTGTTCCATCACAAGTTTTGACTATGAGCTGCAGTATAGTATTTTTGTTCCAGGCATATGCAACTGATATTACAGACCTATTTTGAATACATATAAAATCCTTTGTATAATGTTCTCTAGAATATTATAGATAAGTAAAATAAAATGCTGTAAATTATTACACAATGGTTTATTATTTCCAAACAATTATACATTAAAAGTAACATTAATTTCCTTCATAACGTAAAGGAAAATAAATAAAAACTGATTCCTTACGTTGCTCTAAATATTTTCTTTTCATCATTTGTAATTTGCTGAGAAGAATCGACAAAGATTCAAGTGACTTGTTTACTGATTTCAAGACTGAAACCATTTCATTTCTAAAAAATTTCGTAGATAAAAAAGTTGTAAGTTAAGATTAAATGAAGCCACTCTATACCACTGAGAAGTTTTAGACATGTTAATGATTTGATAAAAAGAGGTTTGTATCGTGGTCTATGATAGATTTCTTTAATTAGCTTTTATACATCTAGTTTAGTATGAAATTTATGATTGACTGTAAATTAATAATATATTCATTTATACATTACTAATTAATGCGTGTTTATTTAATGGTGACTTACTATATTAATGCATTAGCTGCAGTGCTTAGGCATTTGGCGTCCCAGGGCAATCACTTCATTACTTCCAAAAAAATAACTTTTTACTTAAGTTATTTTATATATGTATTCAGTTATATTTGAATTATATTACATTAAATATGTCTCTGATTCATTTGCTTAATTAATAGGCTAAAATTAATTATTCTCATATGCTTTTTAATTTTTTTTTAAATTCTAAATAACTTGTGGGCGTCCATTGCGTCCCTTTCAGGGTGGGACCATTGCCCGTCCCTAAGAGTGGCACTGATTAGCTGTTGCAACTCAAAATATTAGCGGTGTATCACATCATAAATAAAGTGATTTTTTCTCCTTTTGATTTATAAGTAAATAACTTTGTTTTAATTTGTATAGTAATAGTAATGATACTTTCCAGATGGTTTATGAAAGTGGAGATTATCTTGTTGGAGGAACTTTAGAAGTCCTTGGAAGAATTAAATGGAATGATGGTTTGGACAGATTTAGGTTGACTCCAAATGAACTAAGAGAAAAATTCAAAGAGTTGGGTGCAGATGCAATTTTTGCTTTCCAGCTGAGAAACCCTATTCATAATGGACATGCTCTTCTAATGCAAGTATGTATTTCTTAAATATTTATTACTCTTTAGAAATATTTTTTATATTTTGGCAAGTGGTCTATTGACAAATTTTCATTTTTCGTTTCTGAACTATAAACTGAAATAATGAATTTTATCAGGACACTCGAAAAAGACTCATTGAAAGAGGCTATAAAAAGCCAGTATTACTTCTTCATCCTCTTGGAGGTTGGACCAAAGAGGACGATGTTCCACTTCCAGTTAGGATGGCCCAGCATGAGGCAGTCCTTGCAGAGGGAATCCTTGATCCTCAGTCTACTGTTCTTGCTATATTTCCCTCTCCAATGATGTATGCAGGCCCAACTGAGGTAAGATCTTGTCTTTAATTGTATAAATGTAATAATTGAAAATATCATATTGTTTTTCTTATGCTTTTCTAATCAAACTTATTAGAAGAATGTTCTGTCATTAACAAATTATTCCTTGTTAGACTGAAGATTCCTCTTAACCCCCTCTCCTGCCCAAACGGAAGAATATATTTTTTTTTTCATTTGTCTATATTTATTGAGTGATCTAAGTTGAATACCAAAACAATCATAATATGTTTTATTTTTAAATTATATTGTATATTCAACTAAATATAGTATTAAGCACTCACAGTTATAGTTAATGGATGAGAGGTCTAGAAAGGACGACTGGTAGTGTTAGGAGGATGAGTAATCGTCTGGCGAGTTAAGGGATGAACCTTAAGATATTACAGGACAGTAACCACAGAAGGAGAGATGATTCCCCTGTTTGGGGAAGATTAGACAGCAACAAAGGGATGAACCTTCTGACTTGATATATAGGAATACAGGAGGTTACAGAAAATCGAGGCCAGGGATGAACCTGAACACATCATAATCAGGAAAATAGGAAATAAATAGAAGACTGATTAAGGAGTGAAACAAAAATAGTATAGAAGGTATACTACTAAGAGATAAACACTCTCTGACCAAAGACTTTCAACGTTCTCTGCTTCCATGTTAAAAAGAAAATGAACTCAAAGCTACTATGTGACTCAGTGTGATCGCGATGTGATGTCAAATTTGGATACCAAGAATCGTAGCAATCACTGATCATTTTAAGCTTGGATACTTTATCGTACAATGACTTACTTTCCAAAATAATATATTTATAAATGTACAAATTCGTATAGCAACTTTTACATGATAATAGTATGGAATAAAAAAATGTCTCTTATATATCTCTTGTCTTGATGATATGGATCTGTGTGTGGTAATAGACATGCTAACAACATGGTCTATCTGATGTGAACATCTAGGAATGGCAACTATAATTTAATATTATAACTAATGATGTAGAGATGGTTGACCGAGATATAATATGAGAAGGAGTTGATCGGGGGGTGCAGTCAAATAAATACTAAATTATACAAATATTATTATTTAATTTTTGCCGACGTTTCGACCCACTTTGCAGGTCTTCATCAGGGCGTAGGATGTAGCACTGCGGGAGGCAGTTGAAACATGGACACACAGTGTTTCAACTGCCTCCCGCAATGCTACATCCTACGCCCTGATGAAGACCTGCAAAGTGGATAGAAACATCAGCAAAAATTAAATAATACTATTTGTATAATTTAGTATTTATTTGACTTCAACCCCCCTCCCCCGATCAACTCCTCATAATATTAGAACTAATTAATTTAAGGATAACTTTCTTTTTTGGCAAGGTATCCATGATTATTGATGTGAGATTTAGCAAAATTTAAATTGAAGAAAGAAAGCTACTAATTATTATTATTATTAATATTGTTATTAAAGGTTCAGTGGCATGCTCGGGCAAGGATGATGGCTGGTGCTCAGTTCTACATTGTAGGTCGAGACCCAGCAGGATTACCTCATCCTGATCCTTCAGTAGGAGGTGACCTTTATGATCCAACTCATGGTGGAAGAGTCCTTTCCATGGCTCCAGGACTTGACCAGCTTGAGATAATCCCTTTCCGTGTTGCTGCATTTGACCAAGCAAACTCAAAAATGGACTTCTTTGACCCAAGTAGGAAAGAAGATTTTCTTTTCATTTCTGGGACCAAGATGAGACGTAAGTAATTAATTTGTATGTAATAATTATAGATAACTCATATATAAAATAGATTACTTATATATACACAAGGTTTCTCATAAGTAGAGGTAAATTTTCATAGGAGTGATAGTAGACCTCAAGAGCTACAAAAAAGTTGATATAAATAATGGGGCAGTTTTGAACAGGAAAGTAGGAAATCCAAGTATTGTGTTTTTTATAGTGTTGTGTTCTTTGTTTAATAGAAAGCGATAACTTAAAAAATATTTTATTAAAGTAATTAACAATTGCTCCATTGTAAACTTGACAAAATTTACTTCAAATGAAAATAGATTTTGACATTGTTAAAACCATTTTATTTTAAGTGGCTAAACTAAGCTAAGTTCTGTTTTTTAAAAAATCATAAATTATTCACGATTTTTTTTTATTCAACTATACTACAGAAACTCCATTTTTATAAAAACATCCTCGTTTAATAAGCTTTAAGTCTATATTAATGAAGTTGTGGTTTATTAGACGAAAATATGAGATTCATCTCAAGTTGTGTAAAAAAAATGATGTGCTTTTCTATCCTGTCACCTAAAAGTACCTATGTTATCAGCAAAAATGACTACAATTTTTGTTGCTAAGGTTTTATTTCTCATTTTTCTATGATTTGGGATGTATTGTAATTAACATAATTGCTTTAATTCACTTTTTATTTATAAGAATAAAAAAATGAATTTTAAAAATATTTTTTATACAAAGTGGTTATGTATGAATTTGTGTTTTTCTCACAGATCTCTATCGTAGGAATTGATCCTTATTTATAAGTGACAAACTTAAGATTTCTAGTCCTAAAATTTATGTTGAAAATAAAGAAATCTATTTGATTGCTTCAATTATTTTCATGAAAACGTATATATATAAAGTGAATTTTATTTCCTGTTTTATTTTATTCTTTATAAATGAATTTTATGTTTTGTTTTGTACAATGTTTTAGTCCAGGGTATTATTCAAAGATATAATTAAAAAAGCTCTAATTAAATATTGTTTATTTATTAAATTGGCCGACGTTTTGACCATACTATGTAAGACATCATCGCTGGTAATAGAGTAGATGTAGTAAACCATCTGCACTAGAATGAAACTGTGCCACATAGAAAATCATATATTTATATACATAAAAATACAATGTAATTGGTTGGTTATCTTTGTTATATTCTTGAATGACCCTGACTAATCATTCATGATTGACCAGGAATTCACATTAGTACATTAGTATCAATAATTATCCAACAATAATTCTTTTACAATAAACAATAAATGTATATGATTTCTGAATTCATTCATATATCACCAATCTAGAATAAAAGATGCACTTGTTTTTTATTGGCACTGACATAAGACATAGACTAAGTTCTTAATAATAGAAGCTCCAGTGTTTTTCTTTTAATTCATGTTGCTGGTTGATTACCTTTTATATCCATTGTCTTGGCCTAATATTTGAGCCCTACCTGCTCTTTCAGATAATAGGAGTCCAATCTTTGAAATTTCTGAAATGAGAAATTTATAGTTGTACCTTTTTCATTCTGAATATGCGATATACATCATAGTTGACCTAAAATAGTTTTACTCTGAATAACTTTTATTTTTTACAGAAATGTTTTTTTGTGTTATCCTCTGAACTAGATTAGGCCATAAAATAATTTAATTTTTTTTTATCTCCAGCTAATTTTTTGTTCACAGACTTTGCTAAGACAGGAACTTTACCACCGAAGGGTTTCATGGCACCAACTGCTTGGAAAATCCTTTCTGACTACTACCAATCCTTGCAAAATAATTGAATCAAATTAAAGGATCCACATATATTGGTGCTAAGATCAAAACCTATGAGATCAATTTTACTATAATTAATATCTTATGTACAATTGACCATAAGAAAAAAAAAAAAGATGGCGAATTAAATCTCATCATTTATAATCAAAACTGATAAAACTTCTTAATAAGTTTTACATTTATTTTATGTTAGATTTTACTTAACTGATCGGTCAGTTATAATTTATACATTTTATAAATAAATTAGTTAGGTTATATTGGTGAATTGTATTTGACAAACAGTATTCTACTTAGGCAATTGTATTTATGAATAAGATCACATTGTTACTATTAAAAGTTGTATAAATGCTTTGAAAACGTTTTTTTAGCCAATTCAGAAAATTACTATTGTGATAAACAAAACTAAATTTTTGTTTTACCTCACTTATATTTATTTTAATTATTTTAATGAGCACGATCAAGGAATTAGACATTCAAATACATTTTTTGTTATTAGTACTGTGCAATAATTGTTATTATTTGTTGTTTTGTTATAATTGTTATGTATACATATTTTCTATGTATATAATGGATATTATATTGTTACAATTAGATTATCAGTTAAAATTAATTGTATATAAATAAATATGTATAATTTTTTGTGTATTGGAGAATATTATATAAATATACACTGCAGATTATTATTAACATAATAAATATATGAAGTTATTCTTTTTTGTTTTTCTATAATTTTTCCCTATCAAGTCAATAGAGAAACATTGGCATATTGCTGATTGTTATAGTTTATGATTAGAACTAGGGTGGTATTTCATCAACTTAAGGTCTCTAACTATTGTTCTAAATCAATTTTTTTTTTTTTTTAATTTATCCCTTATCTTGCCGGGAAGTATAAAAGGAATTGTTCTATACGCACAACCAAGCCTATTCCAACCATAGTAGAAACGTGAATTCATTCCATAGGTTCCTCACAACATATATTTCAATCTACCTAGGTCAGGTTCGAACTAGTGCCGCTACACTCAAAAATGTTAAAGTGAACCATGCTTTAACACTCTCTGCCATCACGGCTTGATCTAGATTAATCAAGACATATTTGGCAAATGATTTGCTCTAGTGTCTAGTGGTGAGGTGAATTTCATCTCTAATGTAGCAATACAAATGCCCCTACCTATCCTTATTTATCATAATGACTAGGCTGGGTAAAAAAAGAATAGCTAAATAAATATATGAATTATACCCTCTGTTTAATTTTACTGAAGTACCAATTTGAAAAATTATGCAGTACTATTTTTTTTTTTACTTTTGCTTACCTATAATAAAATAAATAGTAATGAAAAGTATTGCAATTGCGAAAATTTTCAGTTTTCAATGGAAATACACGTTTTGATGTCCCCTGAGTCCAAATAACATGGTCTTGCTAAATTGTCTGTGTATATTTGATCCATCTAGCTAAAAAATGTAGTCATACTGAACTGAAATTGTGTATTTAAGCACCTTTTTGTCAAAATCGGCATACTAGAAGTGCCACTTTGTTTCATTAATTTTAAACATTTTTACAATTTTCTTGAAAACGGCTAACAAGTTTGATGAAAACTGATGGAAATTCCTTATATCAGTGCAAAATTAAGCAGTTTTTAATGTAATGCAGATCTTATTCTTACTGATGTTTAAATACATGCCTAATTTTTAAAATTCCTTCGCCTAAAGTACCTTTAATTTTTTATTTGAAATAATTAACCATTTCACATTGGGAACTGATATAAAAAATGGTTAAATATAATGATTGAAGAAAATTGATTGGTAAATAAAAGAGAAATAAGGGTTGGAAGCTATATGGACACAGTCGACCTTTGCGATACTTTATGCTTACAGATACCCGATACTCCTCTGTATAGGGCTTTCATATTGTTAATTTCACTTTTATATACCACCTATCCATAATTTTTTAAAAAGGATTTCACGAATGTTGAGAGACTACTAATATAAACCTAATAATATACAATATTTACTAACGTTATTTTTTAAACAAGTTTTGTAATAAATGTTTCAGATAAAGCTCAAAATGTTTCCAAAAGATCCATTTTTCCCCACAATCAGTATTGTTTGATACTACACAGCCGTAAGCGAAAGTGAAAAGCTATGCGAACGTATAAATTCGATAGGCGGGTAATTAATTGTTTAAGTGAAGTTATAACATGATCATCACTTTGACTTCTCTATATATGAATTATACCTATCTACACTAAGGTTGGTAAGTGGAAGCTGTGTGATCTGCATACTGCACCAGTTTTTGTTTTGTACTTTTATTCCTTGTCATGCTGACTTAACATCTCAAAGTTTTAAAAAGAATAAAACAATACAAAGATCACACAAAACCAGTTCTATGTAAGGTCCGGAATGAAATAAGACGGCTGAAGTTAGAGATGGTAATTAAATGCAAGACATTGGCCACATAAAACAAGTACAATAGAAGCGTCCATATGAGATAAAATTTAATCTGCAAAAAATATTTTTTTCCTTCATTATATTATACTTTTTCTCATACTGGTCGAATTTGACCTGTGGTTAAAGTGAAAGAAAAAAGAAAAATATTTGTTAGTAAAAAACAGATGAGAATTGTAGATGAAGATGAGGCAAAACATTGTCATATGTAATAAAATCAAATAAATGGAAGAAGTTGGATCAATTATTTAAATAAGTTTGTCAACTGTTCTACAACCCGTATGTTAATCAATTCATTCACTGAGTACTTAAACATCTTCTTAACTGACAAAGTACCCAAAAGTTTGAATTGAAATGTAGGTTATTTAAAAAATCCAAAAACTGACTTTCGCGGTTATCTAACACCTAGTAATAAGTTTCAATTGAATTGTTTTTTTCCTGAATCCTTTTGTACAAGAGAAACAATTTAATATTACATACAAGAACTTTTACAGGCAAGTTCAAAGCTTGGAATATTGACAGCTATTAAATTATAACTTAGTAAAATTCAATGTTATAACAATAAACAAATTAATAAATTATTTTGTATTGTTAAGTTATTAAAAATTCATATTCTGTATTAAATTCTATGTACTATAAATATTAATATGATCAATGAAAGCGAGCCATTAATAAAACACACGAAAAAGTGTAATTATATTTTTTCCATTTTTATGGAAGCTTTTTCTATATTATTGAAGGTGTGTCAATATTATTGTATATGTAAGAGATGTATTAAGCAATATTACATTTATTCCAACTTATATTGGATATAAAGGTACAAATATATATAAGATAATATACACCGGTTCTCAAAAGTTTTGAAAGATAAAATTAATCAAAATTTAGAAAACAATAAACATTAGGTTTGAAAGAAGATAAGTTCAGTTCAGTTCATTGGTTTATTTTACTAACTAGAAATAAAATATTCTTTTAAAAAACTTTCTGATTAATCTCAATACTAAGTTACAATGTAATGTTAGTTAACTGGACTCAATTTAGTTCATAATTACATTTACACTTGATTCCCTTCACAACATTCTAGAAATCCAAAGTATCCGTTTATTAAACTTTGCCATACATGATTGCTTCATATTAACATGACGTGTTTATATTGATCATAGTTATAAAATTAAGTTTGGCTGTATTTCAACTTCTTCTTCAGCAGCTAATTCAACTTCTTCTTCAGTAGCTAATTCATCTTCATCATTACTGACATCATCAAATACTTTCCGCTTACCAGCGGCAGAAGGGATCTTACCAACACCTCTTTTGATAAACCTTCGGGCAGCATCTACGTCAATGCGAGGAGCTTTCTTTCTATCCTTAATTTTATTATACTTTGCGACATATTCTTGGACTCTATCTACTTCGCCTTTTACAGAATGTTTGAATGGATCTTCCCCAGTTGTTTTAACATACATCCAATAAAGAGATGTGAGTGTATAAGAAAGGAATATGTCATATTCAACTCTTTCTTCGGTCGTAAGTTCTGAATAAATATCACTTTCATAAAAAGGTTTCAGAACGTTTTCTAAATTTTTTATTTGTTCCTTAAAATAGTTCAATTTTTCCAAAATACCCTTTTCCTGAGATAAATCATCAGAAGATGGTGTGTCAACTTCCATGGCAGGACCAAGCTTAAATAAAATAGAGAAATAAAAAACAAATTTGGTTGTAATGATAGTTAATTCACAAAGACAGAGAAATAGAAACACGGAGATCCATATAAGTTCAGGTTCAAAAACAATTCACTTGTAAATTTAAAACACACATTGAACATCTATCAAACAGATAATAATAAATATACTGGACTCAAAGGTTACCATTAGTTTTAAGTTAGACAGTGAGGTATAAACCAAATTAAAACAAATATATACCTACATGAGGATATCATGAACAATTTTTTTTTTTAACTTTTCAAACGATCATAAATTAAAACAGATCAGCCAGTATGGACAACAGTTAGTATGATCTTCTTAAATATAGGTAAAATCTTTAAAAAAAATATTACATGATCTTATCTTTGGCGTCTGGAAAAAGGAGCTGATTCCTTTAAACTAGAGTAAAGCGGTCCTTCCATGATCAATATTATTGAATCAATACCGAATTTCGTCAATATATTGATCGTGATAAGGCTCGTACATAAGAATGCGATAGGGCTGGGTGACCGAGCGAGCTAATGCATATGCACAGCACCGCGTGTTGCCCAACAACGCTGATCAAATAGTTAATTTAGTTTAAAAAATAGTTACGAGTTCGCGTCCCGATGCCCGGGGGCTTGTGAATCTGGTATTAATTCCCTGGCCTAGTAGGCCGTGTAGCCTGGGAGAGGAGGACCGAAAAAAAATAGGTACCGCAGTACAGCGATATCTTTATATTGCTGTTTATCATCGTGCTGTGTGACTATGATAGTGGAATAGTATAGGATATTAGTTAACGGAGGAAGAGATGTTCAAGAAGTACAACCAAAACTATTCTAAACAGCTTGGAAAGACTGAGATTCATTCCATGGATCCGCCACGAAATAAATTTATACGGATCTAAATCTTAAGATACCCTAGAGCGTAGGCGATACGATATTCGAGGCCCCTGTTAGTAGGAACGAGTGGCTGTGGATCTACGGGGGGAGGCTTTGGGGCTGAAGCCCCCCTCCAAAATGTTTAAATATAACCATGTTTTATGGAAAACAAATTATCTCTTAAAGTATTATTGTTCGTGTAATTACATTTAAAAATACTTTATGAATCACTTAAACACCATTTCATATAGGTAGTTAGTTTCTTTCTTTTTTTCCAAAGTAATTATCGTTATTTTTATGAAAAAAAAAACCTTTCGGGCTGAAGCCCTTCCCCTCCCCCCTAAATTAAATCCTGGATCCGCTAGTGACTGTTGTTAGTTTATGGGGAGTTAAGGAGCCACATCTCTTCTCTCCTAATATTTTAATATATAAAATATAAAGTATTGTACAAATTATTTTTTATAGTTAAAACGTTAATTGTAATAGTAAAACAGGAAGATGTTTTTATTATTTTAGTGTAATAAAACACATTAAGAACTCTTTAAAATGTGTATTTCTACGAATAAACACATTTCCAAAATCAACAACCTATACTGAAACAGTGAGGTTACTTAATGGTTCGCCAGTGCCTTTTCCACTACCATGAAACTCCTCCGCAACATAGCCTACTCTCCAATCACTTGATCGATAAAATGGACTGGAAGCCTGACCTGCCTCTGACTTTTTATTTATTTATTCCACCCTCCCATGCCACAATGGCAATACGGGTGTTTGCGATAGTGTGTTTTAGGCATGAATACCTAATAACACACTACTACTAGATGTGCACACAGTTCTTCTGTTCTATCTGTTCTTCCTTCTTCTTTCGGCCTAGCTTCCAGAATCTGTAGGTCTTCCTGGGGCTTGTCCTCTTCTTCTGTGGGCTCCAATACGGAAGTGAGCGGGCCCCACCACCGTCTTCCATCCATATATGAAATCCTTAAACCGCGGGAAATTTTCCTCGCTGACTAACTGAGGAAACTCATTTTCAGTGAGGAAATAGATTCCCGTGGCTCTTGTCATTGTCGCTTTTAACGTTTCAAATGCGGTGCAGGTCGTGACCACGTGCTCTACAGTTTCCGGAACGCTACAGATTGGGCATAGAGGATCTACATCAATGCCCAGACCGTGAAGTTTAGCTCGAAATCCTCCATGCCCCGTAAGGAACTGAGAAATCCAGTAGTCCGGGAGGACCCACTTTGCCTGAAGCCTCGACTGTACTGTGGGAAAGTACTTCCTCAATGTACTTCCTTTAAGGGTTGTTACCCACCGCCGGTTCCATGCTTCAATTGTATCCTCCCGGAGTATCTTCCTCCATCTATTAGGCGCTTCCATAATCCTCACCTGTAGATTGTCCGAAAGTACTGTAGAGCCTTCTATCTTGTAAGAATATTTCGTCACTTCTTCTAGTAGGAGGAGGTCGAGAGGCGCCACCCCCGTTAGGACCTGCACCGCTTCATGCGAAGTTGTCCTATATGCTCTGGTGACCCGCAGCAGAGCTGTCCTCTGAGTCGAGGCTAGCCTTTTTTTTTGTCGTAGTGTGAGGTTACGGAACCAGAAGGGAGACGCATACCTCAGGATACCCTCCACAACACCTTTATATATCTTGATTGTGGCTGGATACCTAAGGTCCCAGAATGCGCCTCCCCCGCAAGTTAGACCGTTCATTGCTAGGGCCACCCTACAAGCCATATATTCCAAGTGAGGTATCACATTTAGGCCTAAACCTAACCTAACTCCTAGGTAGGTTACCATCTCACTTGGACGTATCCTCTGGCCTTCTATATTCATTGTTATAGGGTGTGCTCTGTCAGTCTTGCCCTTGAGGAGAATGGCTTGGCAGCAGTCATCCTCATTTTCTTCCCCTCACACCACCTCGTGACCAGCCCAGCGCATCGCTCTGCTTCTGTCTTGACTCCAGCTCTGCTGTTTGAGGCCACCACAGCAGCTAGGTCATCAACATAGGCAGTAGCAGGGAACCGCTCTTCTTCTAATACTCGCAGAAATTCATCAAAGACAAGCTTCCACAGAGCACGGCCAAGGACTGATCCCTGAGGGCATCCCCTCTCTATGGAATCTTCTACCTCATAGTGATTCCCTCTGATCTTGACACGCCTGTCATGGAGGTAGCTTCTTACAAGTGAGTATAAATTGCTGGGAGCATCGTGTTTCTGCAGCTGCTGGAGCACGCTAGGCCACCATACACTGTCGAAGGCGGAAGATATATCAAAAAGCAATAACATAACATAACGTTCCGCCCTCTCTTCATCATCTTGGCGCACTCTCAGCAGAGCATCAGCAGTCCCTCTGCCTCTAGTTGAACCATATTGCCGTGGATGGCTTGCTATGTCGAAAACAGGGCGTAAGCTAGACATCATGAGGTTCTCCAGGACCTTGCTCATCACAGGGAGGAGACATATAGGTCTATATGAGTTAGGGAGTTGCTTATCCCTATCTCCTCCCTTGTAGAGGAGTCTCAAAACAGCAATCTTCCAACTTCGTGGGAAGTATCCCGTATCTAGACACTCATTGAAAAATCTTAAAATATGATCTTCAATGTACGGAATACTGTTCCTTAAGATTGCCTCGTCTATTGCATCAAGACCTGGAGAACGATTCATTTTCTGCCTATCCACGGCAATACGAAGATCGTGAATGTCCCATGGTGGGCATAAATCTGACCCGGTCGGATACACCGTGGTACGCCTCACAAAAGCGTCATTTTCGCTGTCCTGGGCTGAATCATCCCTGGGGTATATTGCTTCAATGAAAATACTGGCCGTTTCTTCCAGAGTGGTTGACTGAGTATCTTGATATTGAGGATCTTGATATGAGAAGAGGACGAATGTCTTCTTGTCCCTTTTTAGAAACTTATAGGGATCAGTATATGGCGGGGTGAGCGGCCGTTGAACCATGTCAGTAAATAAGAAATGCGGGAGCTGGGACACCGATTGCTCCATCCCCTCCACCCAGCCTTAAGTATCACATGGTTTGCCGTCCAGCCAGCCTTAAACACCACGTGGTCGGCCGTCCGACCAGCCTTAACCACCACGTGGTTAGTCACGTGACCCTTAGGCCACGCCCACTTTTACCTTATCACTCTTTTAACCACCTAGCCATGCCCCTTTTTAGTCACCTGATCAGTCATGTGACCATTAACCACGCCCCTTTTCGATCTTGCGAGCTCCAAATTTTCCCCCCACTCTTCCCCCCTCGAAGGCTGATTGTGCCCGGCCGCCATCTTGTTTTCTGATACGAGGTTTTCTTCTTGTATGACGTCATGAGACCATTTTTGATAGTGTACCTCCAACCTTTAATCCTAACCCCTCTCTAAGAGGCTGAATGTACCCTGCTGCTTTTTTTTTTTACTGCAATTTGAGACTTAGGACGTTGTTCGCCATTTTGTTTTTGTATAACCTTCCTAATGTTTATCTTTCATATTATAACCTTCCTAATATTTATCTTTAGTATAACCTTTCTAATATTTATCTTTTGTATAATCTTCCTAGTGGTTATATTTTTATAGTCACGTGATCAGTCACGAGACTCCTCCATTTTTCCTGTAAGCTTCCTAATGTTTATATTTCATATAACCTTCCTAATGTTTATCTTGTGTATAACCTTTTTAATGTTTACATTCATCATAGTCACGTGATCAGTCACGTGACCATAACCCATTTTTTCTGTAACCTTCCTAGTGGTTATATTTTATATAACCTTCTCAATGTTTACATTTTTCCTAGTCACGTGATCAGTCACGTGACCGTACCCCATTTTATCTTAATCCATACCCATACCCCATTTTTTTCTGTAACCTTCCTAGTGGTTATATTTTATATAACCTTCTCTTAGTTTGCTAAATATAATATTTAGAATTAAGCCTTCCCAGCACGTCAAGGTATGGGTGCTTCAGGAAGGTTGCTGATATAATATTGTTGTTAATATTTTCTACCAAATCATTCATTTTGTTTACGGGTAAATCAATACCTCGCCAGTGACCAGTACACATACATTCTTTGGTTTACGGGTAAATCAATACCTCGCCAGTGACCAGTACACATACATTCTTTGGTTTACGGGTAAATCAATACCTCCCCAGTGACCATAACATACAGATTTACGGGTAAATTAATACCTCGCCAGTGACCAAAACATACATTCCACACACATAGATTCTTTGGTTTACGGGTAAATTCATACCACGCCAGAGACCACAACACACATTCATTCGTTAACACCAATAATATATCAACAAAAGCTATGTATAAAAAGAAAAGTAATCTTTAAAAAAAAACTGCACAGTTTAAATAACGAAAACATCAACTTTAGGATACTTAAAAGTTCAATATAAAAGTTATTTAATAAAACAAAACAATTAACTTTTTTTTTAATGTACTTATATTTTTTTTCCTGTTTTTATTTATATATCGTTTTTATTATATATATATATATATATATATTTTTTTTTTTTTTTTTTTTTTTTTATTAAATATAAACAAAAACAAACAGCTATTTATATATGTGTTCTTAGCCAGTGTGCCAGAGAGTAAACACAATAAATCGTACACATTTTGGGAATTCCATAATGCACAAGACAATGACACCCACCAAATTGACGGATTGCTATAGGAGATTTTAAACTGTCAATTCTGGGGCAATTACATTCCTCCAGTTCAATTACTACGCTTTCAATGAAACGGCGGAGAAAATGCATTTTCTTTTGTCCTTTTACAAAGACAACAGCGTACTTCTTGAAATTTTCATGGAGGTCTGAGCTCAGAAGATCATAATCCACATATCCAAGACATATCGATTTGTAGAAAAATCCAAATTCATATCATCATACGGATATGATTTACAATTCAGATAGAGCTTGACGTTTGTCAGATCACAATGATCGAATTGATTAGAATCATTTCGAGCATTGTTTTGCCTATTGGTTTGAAAGGCTAAAATAATGTAGCGAGGTTTTTCCATTTGACTCGATGTTTTAACAGACCAGATTTGTCTTTTGCTCATGGGCAAGAGTGGATAGTCAAAGAGTTCCCAGCTATGGAAAGGAATAGAGAACGTCCTTTCAGACCTGAGGTGTCGCATGAGAGCTAGTTTTTGTTGCTCATTGACCGTTACATACGGCAACTTCCAACAAAGTTTGAGTATCTCTATTTTACACGGTTCTTGAGCCACATCTTGAGTTACTGTTGTTTTGTAACTATTCTCATCATGCCGGCTTCTTATTAAAATCAATTCTTGCTTCACATTCAACATGATCTTTGGATAATCTTCGAACCCTCCAAACAACTTCGCCAATGGAATGATCACATTAAACTCACCTTCGGGCGATATTAAGTTTGTAATCTCATCATTTGGATAACACCATCCTTGACATGTCAAGGTATTAAATCGCCCTAAGAGAAACGAGATTTTTTAAAGTAGGCGTAATTCCGGGGTTTTTCACGCGATCAAATTCTACTCCGCTCAACTCATATCGGATCTCATCGAAAAGGTAAGCGATCGTATTGTTTGTCAATTTCGATAATCTCGTAATATTTCTCAATATAGCTCTTACACGTGCAGTTATATTGACAGTTTCAAGAATATTAAAGGAGCTCCAATAAAAATTTATATCAACCGATTTGATTGACGTCAATATAAGCCCTTACAAGGTTAATTTATTGACGAAAATCGATATTGACCGTGTAAAGGGCCCTTAAAGTGGGCTTTACAAGCTAGTTCAAATTCTGGGCTATGCAGATGACTTCGCCAATTTCATCGGAAATCTATCAGACCTCCTATCAACTTATTTTTTAAAGGAAGTGAAAAAAAAATCAATGATAACATTTTAATGTTACTAATATTTTCATTATATCCGTCCACTTGAAAATATATCAATACGATCTAAAGAGCAAGTTTCTAAACTCTGCGCTGAACTCATCTTTGACAAACTAGAGTGAAATGATGAACTCAGCGCCAACCTACCCAAAATATCTTCTCGAAAATATCGATATTTATTGCTATTGTTAATATCCTAATATTTATAACCTTTAAGGTATGGTTATTTTGTTAATTATTAAATACATTTCTATTTAGGTTTATTTAGCACTTTTAAAATTTGTTTGATACATCACGCTTTGTAATATAAAACTTCAATTAGAATGGATACATACTACTTCTATTTCTAAACCTGTCACTTCAGATGAAATATTGATGATTTTTAATTTAAATGTGCATTATGGAATCTGAAACTGACAATTTCCCTTCAGTAGCCGAATGTTGTTATACATCTCATTATTGGTACCTTCTAGTGATCATACTATTACAGAAATTTGTTTCTTATGGTTTGTGATAGTGTAATAAAATTAGTTATTTAATCCTTATTTTAGCGAAGAAAATGTTTGGAAGTTGTGTGAGCTAATAAGTCAAAGGAAAAATAATTGTCTTGATAGTTGCTATTGTATTTTTGTTTCTAATGACTCAAAAATAACTCCTTTATGGCATCAGAAAATAGGATCTGGAGATGATTTTTTCGTTGCATGGGTTAGTATTGTTTTGATGTCTATATAGCAACAATAGTCTATTTATCAAATTATGGTAATGTTTGCTTTTTTTTTAATAGGACTATCATGTTTTCTTAGTAGTAAAAAATCAGCCTGTCATAAGTGTGTTTGATTTCGATACTACTCTTGGTTTCCCTGTCTCATTTAGAAATTATATCGAAAAAGCTATTGGCTTTGAAGTAAACATGGTTCCTAAGTATAAAAGGTAAAACATTGTGTAAGCTTATTTATATTAAGTTTATGGTCACTTGTCCATCTCTCAATTAGTCCTTATTGTGATTGGATTTATTTTCATAATTTCTGGATTTTATCTTTCTAATCCATTGGTTTTCATAATTATTTGTTACATTTTCCTTGTTTTCTGGGTAACCATTTGGTCAGTTATTATTATTTTTTTATTATATAACTAGAATATGTATTGGTACCACTGTACAAACGTCACTTATGTTGTCCATTGGTCCAAGATCTTTTGTTTGCTTTATAAATGGGATTCTCAGAATATCTGAGAATTTGACTACCCTCCTTTTATTTAGAGGACGATTTACGACTTCGACAAACTCCCTACTGTTTTTTTTTTTTGTGTTTTGGGGCATTAATTGGTTTTGGCTCTCCCTCCCTCTAAAGAGATAAACAAATCCCCAAGAAGTAATTTTCAGTGGAGGTCGGCTTCTATCTACGTTCGAACATAATTATCCATTGTCGAAATTCCATTTTTACGGCCAAAAAGGAATCTTGAGCCACTGTACAAGCCAGAGTGACATATTTACATTGGTACCTATGTAGTCATTTAGCTATAAAACTAAATATTTTGACTCATTAGTTACATTTTTATAATTCTTTCCAGACTATTTCGAGTTATTCCAGCCAGTGAATATTTAAAATACTTCTCATCTGACCGTAGACATATGAAAAATGCTAATGGCGAGTGGATAAAACCGCCCCCTCCTTATGAACCAATTCAATCAAATGGTATTATTATTTATCATAATTCTAAGATTTTAGGACTAGTTAAATCTGGAGATCTCACTATTAATAGATATACTACTAATATATATACTTATTTATAGAAGTTTCTATTTACAATTTTAGAAGGACTGGATGGAAAGAAATTGATTATATAGGCTGGATTTAAAAGTAGGGAGAGTATTGGAGCGACGGATGTCGTAAGGAATGGAGTTCCATAGGGATGAGGATCGAATAATAAAAGATTTATCGAAAGCAGCGGTTCAGTGGACCATTATACATAGACCGAATTATATATGAAGACCAGGAACAGGTATTTGCGGGAGTGGACAGAGGATTTAAATTGAAAGAGCTCGGGGATGTATGAAGGACAGTGGATGTGAATGACTTGGAAGAGGAAGGATGCCAGGAAATACTTACGGTGGTAGGAAGGATAATGCCATTTCAACTCTTCATAGAAACAGGAAACAGGGGCGTCCCTTGGGATCCCGAAGATGAATCGTACATAGCAATTTATCAAACGTTTTAGTGACGCCTCCATATACCGTGCAGCAATAATCAAAGTGTGGAAATATTAAGGAGGTGACCAGGAGTATATGGATTTCAAAATGAAAAAGGTGTTGGAGGCTGTTTAAGTGTTTTAGGGTGGAAAAGGTACGTCGGGAAATATTGGATACATGGTTTTTCTAGAAAAGGGTTTGATCAAAGATTATTCCAAGGTTTTTGATGGTGGGATAAAATTTGATGTGATTTTCATGTAGGAACAGGGTTGGAATGTTAGGAACAGTTTTGAGGAGGTGATTGGAGCCTATTAGGATTGCCTTGGCCTTTTCCCTGTTCAACTTCAGCTTGTTAGCTCCTGCCCAGTCATATATTCTATTTAAATCTTCTTGAAGCTTATTTGTGGTGGCTAATAGGTCAGAAGGGGGACGGAAAGGTATATTTGGAAATCGTCAGCATAGATGTGGTATTGGGAGTGACGGATCAGGAGGGGAAGGTCATTAATGTAAATAGCAAACAGAGTTGGAGATAAGGAGGAACCCTGAGGGACACCACAGGGGAGGGGAAGTGTCTTTGAAGAAGGTTGATCTGGAACGACTACATACTGAGATCGATTGGAAAGGAAGGATTTGAACCAATGCAGGACACTGTTGGATAGAGAAAGATTTTGCAATTTGGTAAGAAGGATGTTATGATCAACTGTATCATCTAAAAGGATGAGGATAGTAAGGTTTAGGTGTTCAATGGAGTTTTGGAGGTCATGGATTATTTTAAGGAGGGCAGATTGCATTGAATAACCTGGTTGAATGAGGGAACATTCTTCTAGGAAGTTGGAAAGTTGATTTTGGACAAGGCATTCCAGTGGTTTTGAGAGGTTGGAAAGAAGAGAAATAGAACGGAAGTCGTTCAGTTAGGAAGGGTTTAGAAGTTTTATTCAAAGGTCATACTAGTGCGGTTTTCCAGGAAGAAGGAAATACAGAATTTTGCAATGAAAAGTTGTAGATCTAACCAGGTTTCAGAGAACTGCATGTGATGAGTGAGAGAATAAGGGACAAGATAAAGATTAAGGGAAAATATTAGGTCAGTGAGGGAGTATTTTAAAATCTCCAGAGATGATGACATTGAAGTAGGTGAATACCAGATTGACAATATAGTGTAGTAAAATAAGGGATTGACCCCAACATTAAAAAAATAAAGATAAAAGTTGTCAGAAATTGTTTATTATCCTCCCTATAATAACCAGTAAAAATTCCCAAAAAATCCTGTGTCGGGGTTTGATAGTGGGAGGGGAAGGACAGAAAAATGATGTTTGTTTAGTTTTTTCATTCAGGTACAAGAATTTAGAACTTTTTTAAAAATAAATTTAAAAACCTACTGACCATCTGTGTGCCACATTACGCCATGCATATCTTGGTTTGGGCAAACTTGACCTAGTATTCTACCTTACTTAGTCCAGGTGCTTATATCTTGAAAAAGTAAGCTATGAAAACAAGAGGTTTCATAATAATAATTTACAAATAATAAGGGTTTTAATAACCATTAAAAAATAATTAGCTAAATCCATTGCCTGTCTTGTCTGCCCATCCATGTGGTTGTATGTCTTCTGGCTAATCTCCGATCAACTGCGGCATAAATGGATGTATAAAATACATTCTGTTGGATGAATTTAAAGTAAACTTCTTGCCCACTTTAATCTCCATATAAAAGGAAATCAGGTGGATGAGGAAATAATACTAAAAGGTTTATAAGAATATTGATACAAAAAGTTCACAACAGTACCTAGTTTGAAATTAATAAACTCTGAGCATAGAGAAGTTAAAAAAATTAAAATTAAAGTTTATCATCAGTGGACCACAGTTTTTTTATTGCTAGAACATCGAGGTGTAAGCGAAGAGTAATGAATTTCATTTTCATGAAATGATTATTAATACTTGCAATACATAAAGTTTGCACCAATCATTTAGGATGAAGGATCAAGGATGAAAAGGTCACCTATAAAAAAAAAAATTGTTTTTATTATTATTTTTTAATAGGTTTGTTGTTATTTAAACACTTTGAACTAACAATAATGGATCCTTTTTATTATTTTTAAATGTTTATGTCTGTTTTATATGTTTTAAGTTTGTTTTTTATCATTATTTTGATCCAAACTTTCCAATAGCGTAACTAATTTAAATAATATTAAATTTTTAAATAAACCTTTTTTCTTATTTGCTCTCATCATATTCTAGAGGAATAATTTTGTTTGCAGTAAATAGAAATAAAAATATACAGTAAATAAGAAAAATAGGATTTAAACATTTAGATTAAAGTTGGTGGATTCAGAGGGAAAATACTGACCTGGCAACCCTGGCTGATAATGAATTAACATATGAAAACAAAATTGACAGGCTTATGATTTAGTATAAGTATTTCTTGCTAGCTATTCAAAATAATTCAAATTTTAATGCACTCTCATTTTCAAGTGTTCTTAGTGAGTTTATTTTTTACTGTTCCAGAATCTAAATACAATCTTGATGAGTTTATATCCATGAAGCTTGATGAAGGACCTGGTAAAGTAATGGATTTGGAAGGTTTCATTAAGTTTTTCCAGGAGCCATAAGCCAGATATGCCAAATAAAACCACTCTTAAAACTAAATGAATAGCATTTATCTGCATTAGGCTCTATTAGAATTTTTATAATTTTGTACTTATAGATATGTTTAGATATAAATATTTACCTTTAATGTATATACGTGAAATTTATTATTATCATGTAAATAGGTTTTAATTTATTCTGAATATTCTTTTATATATATTGGAATAAAAATTTTGTTTGAGTATTAATTAACTTTTTTTCTTTTTTTCCCCAGCTCTAACAATCAAAGGTGTAGACAGTTATAAACAAATTTGCTCCTAAAGAAGAAGAGTCAAGGTTTTCTATATTATAATAATAATCTTTATTTATTCTGAAAAAGTCTTTTTAGAATAAAATACAATAACTGAATTGAGGGCTTTAATGCCTCTTAAAAATATACAAATAGAAATAATAATAAATTTTAGGTTAGCTTTAAAATAATAAGTTTTTAAAAGATTAAATAAACATTAAATAACAACATATATATGCACAGGATGTTTCATAATTGCTCGGCACTATTTTAAGTATGTGTTCACTAACACAAAATAAACAAAAAAATTCATATTAACACATATCTCAAACTCATTTATTAAACAGATATCAAAGGTTAAAGATGTATTATTTATTATTACTATATATTTATTATTATTACAACATTTAAAGTAAATTGTTCAAAGGGGCCTCCGTTTTGTTGAATGCAACATTCAGCACGATGAATCTATGCTTCTCTGGCTCTCCGTATAGCACCAGGATGGTGCTTGATAGTTTCTGCGGCTTCCACAATCCGATTTCTTAGCTCTTCTTGCGTTCGAACTGCCGCAGAATAAACCATAGACTTCATGCAGCCCCACACAAAATAATCTAATGGTGTTAAATGCCGATATCGTGGTGGCCATTCAACAGGTCCATTCTGACCAACCCATCAGTCTTCATAAGTTGCATTTAAATAATCAGTGAAACTAATAGAAAAGTGAGCTGGAGCACCATCTTACCATGCATAAACCACAGCCTTTGCCTAATGCCTAGCGGAATATATTCTAGGAATTCATGAAGATTATTTTGCAAAAAATGCAAGATATACCTGACAGTCTAGGTGGAAAAAAGAAGGGGCCAATGATGTTGCTTAGAAGACCACACCAGACATTTAAAGAAAAGGTATTTTCGTAATGTCCAACAGCAGTCGTATGAGGGTTTTCTTCAGACTAAGTATGGGTATTTCGAAAATTAAGAATCTCGTGTCTTGTAAAGCAAGATTCATCAGTAACCAAAATGCAGTTAAGGAAGTTAGGATCTTGTGTGCATTGTCAAATTAACCAAAGAGAGAAATTTCTGTGCTTGTTATAATCTTATGGTAACAAATCTTGCCTACTCGATACGTGAAATGGATACAATTGTTGTTCACCATATGCTGGTAGAGGAAACATTGAAACGATGTGACAATCTTCTGGCACTAGTAATAGGAGAAAACTGAAGAGCATCCAGTATTTCTTCTTCAACATTTGCAATTCGTCAAAATCTTTGTCGACCGGCGTTTACTTGTATAGGTTTTAGCATGCCATTATCCCTTGGGCGTCTTTCAACGGCCTCAAATGTTTTACGCTTTTGTATTATTCGGTCAGAAAATTTTTCACGATTTCTTCGAACAGCAGCAGCTTCTATTTCTATGTACCTTGCCATAAGTTAAAAGCGACATGCTTTTAACTATGACAAACAGACATTGTTTGTTTTGCAAAAGTGAATAAATTTATGGTGTCTTCCATGATAATCATAAATTGAACTGTGTCACAGTATTCACTCACACTAAAACACACAGAACTAGACAAACAGATGAGCAACTACTGTCATTGCTTATAGTTCATTTGTTTATCAGATGATTAAAACCTGTTATTTAGTATTAAACTTTGTACAGTCAGTCTTAATGTAGTAAATAAATAATAAATCTTTAACCTTTGATATCTGTTTAATAAAACGAGTTTGAGATATGAACTTTTTTGTTTATTTTGTGTTGGTGAACACATACCTAAAATAGTGCCGTGCTATTACAAAACACCCTGTTGCTATGTCTTATCCCCAAAAAAGGAATGACGTATAAAAGATGCTACGTTTTGTGGTGTTTAATTTTATTCGGGATGCCACTGGATAATTATTGCTGATAATTAGTAGTAAAATAAATTTGGATTTATAATATATTGATTGGTCCAGAATTAATGTATTGGATTTCTTTTCTTAAAGGCTGGTTTGTGTTTATCTTGCTTTCTAATTACCAAGTTATTACCTGTGATTATAATGATATAAATAGGTGGCAGAATTAAAATAACTTTTAATCAAAAACTTAATATATTACTATGCTTAATAGAGAAATTATACAAATTATATTTACAAGAATTATAAATTATAGTTAAAAGAATCAATGAATTCAATAATTAACTGTGAAGGCATGATTTCAGATGGACTGTTTTGAAAATTATATTGCCATGAAATATTCTAATATTGTTAAAATTAATTGTTAGGAATAAAACTTATCTATTGTATATGACGTAGTGTAGTTGGTAGATTCCATCGCTGCATCTGCAAATCTGAGGTCATCTCATCATGGTTCAAAGCTCTGCCAGGATCATCATGGTCTATGTAGGGCCAATGCATCAATCCACAAGCCGGAAGAAAACTGAAGACCCATCCTCAAGGCCGGATCTCCACATCAGAACTCTTCTCCAGGCCGGGCAGCAACATAAGCCCCTTTTCTCTCTTCTTAGTAGATTTTATTGAAATATTCAGGGTGGGGCCAGAATGGTTCTCATCGGTTGAATTTTCGTAGCATAAGGGATGACTACGCCTCCAGGCCGTACGGCTGTTTCCTCTTTCTTAAAGGTGTTTCTGTTCTCTCCCTTGCTTAGACAAGCCTTCCGATCCTCTCCAAATATGCCCACGTAAGACCGGTGTCGGTCTTTTGGTGTTTTATTGCCCCTCAGAAAAAATAGCAATCCCTAGTGGGTCGCCACTCTCCCTCAGGTAACCGGACATGTGTTTTTGACAAATAATAATTTTAAAACCATATTGGATATGTTCAATACATAGCATTTTCACCAGTTATGAAGAAAAAAAAATGGCATTCGAAGATTGACATTTTTTCTTAACAGTAATAAGATTGTTTAAAATAGTTTTTAAGAAAACTAAATGTTAATGGTGATACTTTTTCTCAATACGTTCCTTACATTTCCATCACATATATGTACAAATATTTCACTTTAAAACTAGTAATTTACATAATTACATAACGCTATTTATACAATGACTGTACTGGGATTGTTGCCCATACAATATATGTACAATAAGTAAGTGTAATTGGCAACTACTAGCTAGGGAGCCATTTTAACTTTTCAATAATAATAGTAAATAATATACTTATTTATAAATTAAAATAATATAGTAGTTGTGACATGCAGTTGATTATTATTTTATTAGACTATATATACATATTTTTTAGAAAAAAAATAAAATCTAATCCCAGGATGAGTTAAATCAAAACTAACGAATAATCCGTTTTGGACCCCACTGTTCACCTTTTGGTAAATCCCAAATTCATGCCAGTAGAATAATATTTCTTTCTTTAAACAATAACCTATTTTTATTGAATATTTAATAGTTGACCGTTATACGTATATATTTATAATTTAATATTTCATAGATATAGTATTTTTCCGTTGTATCCATCCATATCTTCAAATTTTAGATGCTGTAATTTTCTAGGTTTTTCCCCATTACCCAAACAAGTCAGCTTCCCCAATACCTGCCCTTACCCTGGTTTTCCAGTCTAAGTGAAATTCCTAGCTGAACACACCTGTAAGTCTCTAATTTTATTTACTTATTTATTTAATTTTTTTGTTTTCTTTTCTTTCTCCACATCCCTTTATGTCTATTATTTCATATTATATCCTTTTTTTTCTTCTCTTTCAATCTCTCCTGTAGATCTGTAGAAGTATATTCACATTTACATTTATTATATATTACACTACAACAATTGTTAGCATCTATTTGTTTTAGTTTAGGATCTGGTTACTTAGCTTACTCTGTTCATATTTTAATGTACTTACTGTTTATAATTTTAATGAGCTTATTCACATTATTTATAATTTTTTTTCTAAATATTATGTAACTTCCACAATTCTCTATCTTTTTGTATCCTGTCCCTGAAGAAGACCTGCAAAGTTGGGTCGAAATGTTGGCTTTTAATAAAATAATTTTACCACGATTTAGCCTATTTATGACCGTCACCCCGGACCATCTCCTTCCTTAATAATCTATTTATTTTTCTCTTTACCCAATGAATTAAAACTCATGTTAAGTCAATACATTTTTATAATACATCATTTACAAGTTATAGTTATTTACAAATTTAGATAAGCCTACTTGTATATAATACGCGCAATTAAGTCCTATAGTAAAAACAATTGAGCCCCATTAACTTTGTTCTTATTATTCCCATTATTTTAGTTCTTCACATCTTGGATCATTACACAATACAAACTGGAGTCACCATGAGTATCATAGAAGATCTCTTTGTCTTCTCAAAATTAAGGTTTCTTACCTTATTATATATAACCAAGGAGGACCTCTGTCTACTAAAGTCAGGGTCACTATTTCCTACTGACTTCAAATAAATCTACTCAAGATAATAAAAAAAATTATTTGATCTAATATTCCTCAGGTGTTTTCTCCAGAGATACTCTTCTTTAGAAATAAATTGACTTTTTATTGCAGTATTAGGCTAATATTTATTTCAGTGTCTAATACTCTATAATCTTCATGATTTTAAGATTTATTTCTTATGAAGGTCTCATAATTTTTTATTTTATTTAATTTTTTTTATAACTTCTTAAAAATTATTATTTATTTTTAATTATTTTATTAATAAGTTATTCTTATTATTTTATTAAATAATTATTATTTCATTATTCTAAAAATGATTTTTCTTTCTGATTTCTTCTATTAATTCAAAATTCCTTATCTATTGTCCGTTTTCTGTTTGGTTGTTATACCGAATGATCAACCGATAATTAGAAGTAATACCTTTTTCTCACATTTCCCCTGAGGTAGCTTCTCGGTCCTACAGGAATCAGTTTCATTTTTGAAAAGAAACATTTTAACCTTAAATTTTCTCGACATTTTAATTTGCTTTTCTTTAACCTGTTTATATTTTTTATTTTTTGTG